TCCCTGGGCAGCCCATTCCAAGGGCTGATCCCTCTCTCTGGGAAGAACTTCTTCCCCATGGCCAACCCAAACCTGCCCTGGGGCAGCTCCAGGCTGTGCCCTCTTGTCCTACTGCTGGTTCCTGGGAGCAGAGCCCGACCCCCCCCGGCTCCCCCCTCCTGTCAGGGAGTTGCAGAGTGAGAAGGTCTCCCCTGAGCCTCCTCCTCTCCAGGCTGAGCCCCCCCAGCTCCCTCAGCTGCTCCTCACAGCACTTGTGCTCCACACCCTTCCCCAGCCTCGTTGCCCTTCTCTGCCCCTGCTCCAGCCCCTCAACATCCTTCCCAACCTGAGGGCCCAGAGCTGGGCACAGCACTCGAGCTGTGGCCTCCCCAGTGCCCAGGGCAGGGGCACAATCCCTGCCCTGCTCCTGCTGCCACACTATTCCTGAGCCAGGCCAGGCTCCATTGGCCTCTTGCCCCCCTGGGCCCCCCTGGCTCATGTTCAGCTGCTGTCAGTCAGTCCCCCCAGGGCCCTTTCTGTCCCCCCACTCTGTCCCAGCCCGTGGGGCTGCCGGGGGTTGTTGTGGCCAAAGGGCAGGACCCGCCCTTGGCCTTGTTGAACCTCATCCTGCTGGAATCAGCCCATGGATCCAGCCTGTCCAGGTCCCTCTGCAGAGCCCTCCTGCCCTCCAGCAGATCAACACTCCCCCCCAGCTTGGTGTCACATCTGTTCCCCTTTAGTTCCCCTTTAGTGATCCTAAAGGTCCCGTGTCACTCTGGTTTCATTTGCCTCCCTTTTCCCACAGGAACATGGATTTTCTCGCTTATCAGGAGTGGAATTGCTGGACCTGCTGTTCAAAACTGCTCCTGCCCTGTCAGGCTTTGCTGACATGACAGAAATGAGATTTTTTCAGCCTTGTAGTCCCAGAAATATCCAGGTCAAATAGTACTAAAATTGTCATGAGGAAAAGAAACAACTCCAATTCATTAATGGTTTAATTTGCAGGGGAGCAATGTGGGTATGAGCCTCTGGAATTTTTATCACTGCTCACTAGCTGGAGTAAAACACAGGAAAAATGGGCGGATCTGGGAACAAAATGCTTTGGGAAGTGAATTCTTTAATCAGGGTTTCGCTAGAATGTGTTTATTCTTCCTTCTTTCTTTAAGTGTGTTATTTAAATGTTTAAGGCTCAGTTTTTAGCATGTTATAATGGGAATTTCACTTCTTAATATCTCTTTTATAATGGGAATTTCTATAACTTATTTAAATTTAAATTTGTATAAATTTCTATAATATAACTTATACAAAAATTTATATAAAATTTAATATTAAATTTAATCATTAATATAGAATTATATAAAATATAAATGAATATTTATTATTAATATAATTATATCTTTTAGTATAGAATTAATATAATATAAAAAGTATATAATATCATATACATCATTAATATTATATGTAAATGTTGCATTTTTAAAATCTAATTTTTATGCAATATATAAATTTAATTATAAATTACTACATATTTTAACTAAATTTATAAATTTATATAATTTTACATTTATATAATTATTTTTATAATGGGAATTCTTACAATAGAGGATTTAATCCCCTGAATTTATTGAAGAACAAACAAAAGGCAGTAAATGAATCAGAAATATCTTTATGCCTTGTGGTGCTCCACTGCCAAATCCAAGATGGGGTTTCATTACCTTAATCTTCATTATTTTTTTCACTCTTGTTAAGGAATGATCAGTATTTCAGAAGGTAAAAGCACCTGTAGCTGTAGGAAATCATGAAACCCCTCAATTCCTGTGCTTTTGCAGCACTTTGGAGCACGAGCTGGGGCTGTCAGAGAGGTCTGGAAGCACACGGGATGTGGGAGTCCCACAGATCCAGATGGGAAGGACTGGAGAGAAAAGGAGAGAAAATGGGAATGTCTTAACCTGAGTTGGGTGCCTGAGGAACCAAATCCCATGGAATTTGCCCAGGATGAACAGCACAGGCTAAAATAAGGCTGAGAGGACTGAACTTCCAGCTTCATTCCAACTCACTCAGTGGTCTTTAAGCATAAATACATATTTTTTGTCTGGAATAGTGTGAAAAATCAACTGAGGGTTGATGAATACACAGGGGGAGGAATTACTCAAAGGTTTTACTCTTCCCTGGCAGAAAACAGGTCCGACAGAACCATGGGATAACTCTTGTTATTCTTGGATGTGGCCGTGCAAATTCCCAGGACCCTGATCCTCAAATCCATTGGAGCTGCCCAGGCACCGTATGGATGATCCTCCCTCATCTTTGGATACTCTTTGACAGTTGCCTAAATTTTTCTACTTACAAATATTGAAGGAATCCAACCTCGTCCCCAAAGCCTGGTTTTATGGCATTTTTTAATGCAATATTTCCTGCTGTTTTCCCCAGATTAATAGGTTTCACTCTTACCAAACCCAGAGAAATCAATGGCAGAGCCCACGACAGACAAACCACCGGCAATAAAGCAGAATATCCACTTCTGGGAGAGAGGAAACTGTCAATAAGAAAATAGATTTTTCTTTCAGGTTTGCAACAACCACAACAAATTACCAAGTCATGAATAGCCCATTAGTTTTCTTTTTTTCTCCTTTCCCTCTCATGACACCTCTGGGCTCTCTCTCAAATTAACCACATGAAGTGTGTCCCCTGAGCACGAAACTGCTGTGTATCAGGTTAGGGAAAATGTTGATTTAAACATGCACATTCCTAATTCTGGGCTTTAAAAATTTGAAAAGGAGGCTTTTTTGTTCAAAAATAGTTTATTCAACTTCTGTTAAAACTATTGCAAGACCCAGTTATTTTGGAAGAAAACCAGTAGCTTTTTTTTTTCCAGCCCATCAGCCAAGTCTGACATCTTGGTAGTGACTATGAAATGAAGTTGCATTATGGATTTTTTAATTTAATTTCCTTTAAATCCTGTAGGATTCACCCCCCTGGGGCAGAGCACCCCATGAACCTGAAGGCAGAGCAATCCAGACTCTTTCAGAATTCCCTTCCTAATTCCCTGGATCAATGAGAACAATAAAAATAAACCCCAGAGTTGATATCCACCATTTCCTTTTATTTTTTTCCCAATATCAACAAGCCTGGATACCTGGGACATAAATACTGGCTCTTTGGGTTTAGGAGACTGTTAAGCCAGGCTGGTAAATCACTGCTCTTGTCCCAAAACAGTGACAGTGGCAGGAGGTTCTGACAGGTGGAGGAGGGATTGAGCAAGGCTCAGGATTCTGGCATTATTTAAACCCCCCATCTTGCTTCCCTGGGTTTTAAGGCCACGTTTAATCCCTTTCAGGAGAAATCATCCTTTTCTCTGTGCTGTTTTTTCCCTAAAACTAAAGATTTTGGCTCATAGGGATTTTTCTTCAGGTCTTTATACCACGTTCCTGTTTTTCCCTGTGTCCTGCTAACACGTCCCTGTCTTTGTGCAGCATCAAATAATGGGAATAATGGAAAGGAAATTCCTGCATTTCCAGTTTTGAAGCTGGAAGAGGGCATGAGGTTTTATTGAAAGACTCCACGAAGTGGAGCCCAGCATGTGGAATGCACCAAAATATGAGTTTCCCTGCCTGTTTACAGTCCCACCATAAAAGCACAAATTATCCTCTATAAAAAGATATCCTGAAGCAACATTTGGAATAGTGAAGGAAGGGAAAGATTGTTTAACCAGATGCTGTAAATTTAATATGGTAACATTATTGCCACCCAGGATTTTATTGATGGTATCATCTCAAGTTACTTATCTAGAAATTTACTGTGTCTGTTTCTACTCTTATTTAACTGCAATTTCCAAAAAGAAATTATTAATGAGCCATTATCTGAGGAGTGAAGGGGAAAGTGATTGAAATCAAACAAAGCATCAAAGGCAAACACAAATCATGGTAATGTCGCCTTTTTGTCTTTTTTTTTTTTTTTAAATATTCTAATGAAGAAAAATGTGGAGAGGAGCCAGATTTTGGGACAAAACTCTGCTGGGGTTCTTCAGTTGCAGCACAAATGGTTTCAGTTTTCAAACTGAAAGAGAGCAGGTTTAGGTTCTGAAAGAGAGTAGGTTTAGGTTGGACTTGAGGAAAAAATTCTTCCCTGTGAGGGTGGTGAGGGGCTGGGATGGAATTCCCAGAGAAGCTGTGGCTGCCCCATCTCTGGAAGTGTCTAAGGCCAGGTTGGACAGGGCTTGGAGCAACCTGGGCTGGTGGAAGGTGTCCCTGCCCATGGCAGGGGCTGGGGTTGGATGTCCTTTTTAAGGTCCCTTCCCATCCAAACCCTCCATGATCCTCTGATTCCTCAATTAGTGTGGAAAGAGAAAGTTTCTTTGTTTGGAGAAGTCTCACAGCATCATCTCGGGCTGGCGCTTTCAAGGATCTCACGGGACATCTCCAAGCAGACTGTGACACCTCAGAGAGCTGGAAGTGGATAAATATCCAGCTCATCAAAAACAATCAAGTTGGGGCTGTGAATAACCTGCTCGTGTCCCCGTGGGCTGTTCCAGGGCAGGAGTGACCACTGCAGGTGTGACCCTTGTGAATGGGGCTGTCCAACCCTGTGAGCCCGGGCCTGAAGGGGACAAAAACCAGCTCTCAGCAAAAGGAGGCTCAGTAAATTTGAATCACAAACCTTGGAAAACAAGGCTGACAAACATCTCGTGATTCAAGAAATTTGGACCCTTGTCCTGAGACCTGTTGATGTGCAACCCCGAGATATAAACCTGGCTCCAAGAAGAATTAAGAAAGGACTTTTTGAGATGATTGTTAAAACCACGTCTAAACCCCTGTAATCCCTCTATCCCCCATGTAATCCTACTTGCAGAAAAATTACCTATTTGGAAATTGCAGTAAAAACTTGTGTAACTCCCCAATTAACACAGGTTGTCCCCTTCATTAACATGTCCAGCCCCAGATGCCTTTAAAATTGTGTTCTTGTGTTCAATAAAGTTTTCCCCATACTGGAATCATGTCTAGCTTTTATTTTTCAGACCTCCACTCGGGCCGGCACCTCCAGCTTGTGTTTTGCTGCTTGGATTTGTCTGAAATAAAAGCTAAACCTTTCCCTGGGATGGCCAAAGGGACCTGGGAGAGCCAGTTCTCAGCACAGAGCGCTCCTGGGTTTGTCCCCTCACCCTCATTTTCAGCCAGGGGGGATATTAAGAACCCAAAATTCAGAGCAGTTTGTTCTTTGCTCACCCTGTGACATTGTGACCTCTCTTCTTTTCCAGAAGCAGCTGATTCTCCTGGGCAGGATGGATTGTTGGCCAGGTGTTGAGGGATTGAAAATTATAAATTCTGCATTTGGTTTATTGCCATTGTATGGTTTTGTATATGTTTTACCTTTTTCCCTGTGTCTGTGATTCTTGAATTTTGCTGCAGTATTATGCATATTTATGTTTTTTCCTTATATGGTCATGATTTGCATGCTCTGCCTTAACTCCTCCCCTTGTTTTAGCACCTTCCCTATCTTGAGGATATAAGGCTGAAGCCAGTTTGTGTTTGAGGCTTTTCTATTCTTCCTCCCAACCTGTTGAGTTGTGCCCTGTCTGGGGCAAACCCTACAATAAAATCCCCTTACCAATTCCATCTGAGGAGTTGTGGGAGTGCTCATTTAGGCACACTCAGGGTTTGTCCCCTCACCCTCATTTTCAGGCAGGGGGGATATTAAGAACCCAAAATTCAGAGCAGTTTGTTCTTTGCTCACCCTGTGACATTGTGACCTCTCTTCTCTTCCAGAAGCAGCTGATTCTCCTGGGCAGGATGGATTGTTGGCCAGGGGAGCAGCATTTTGCAGAAAGCTGCTCCAGACCCTCATTCCCAAGTGTAGGTTTGCTCCACTCTATTTCCTGTGCTTGGCATTAACCACTCCCTGGGATATTCATTATGCTGCTCTGAAAAATGAAGTTAATTGATGAATGGAGGGCTGGTTTGCTGCCACTGCCTCTCCATCTTCCCGTGCTGAGCTTCCAGGGTGTAACAGATGTGTGGCCAAGGGACTCAGACCATCCATCCAGCGGGTCCCTTCAGCCTCCGAGCTGTCACTTACCTTGCCAACCCCAGAAACACACGTAAATCTACATTTAGAGCCTTTTTTGACCTTGCAAACACTTCAACCAAAGGGCAGGGCTGTGAGGAGAAACGTGTGTGTCACAAATGTGCCCTTAAACCCCCCTTGCAGCAGGACAGATGAACCAGAATCTATTCCGTCGAATAAACTGTTAATTTTTTATTTTACTTCAAACTTGTCATTGTCGAAAAAGCTGTGGATAAATCCTCTTCTGTAAACATCTTAAAAATCGACTTTTTGCGTGTGTTTCAACAGCTAAAAAATATTTTCTGTTCCCTGGAACAAAAATACGACGTAACAAAAAACTGGAATCACAACCCTGAGATGTTTTGAGGTTTTCTGGGTTGATGTTTACACACTTCAACTCTTTTGTAGCAGTTTGAAGTGGCAAAACAACTTTCCTTTTTACTTTGAAAGTGTTGCAACTTTTATTCCCTTTAAAAAAGAAAAATAACAGTAAAGCAATTTTGGCTACACTTTTCATGGAGAATTTCAGTTTTTGCCCCCTGGACGTGGTGTTACATTACCCAGCACGAGGCAACAATCCCAGTGCTGACTAATTGCTGGAAATGCTGATTTATTTATTCAGCCATTGTTTAATGCAAATGCAACTCCTGTGTCTGTGCTGTTGAAACCCTCTGGAGGAATTTCAGCAAATTCATAGCCCTTGTTTCCTGAGCATGAATAATAAAACCTCCTCCATCACTGCCCTGGCTGGTGCAGTTGAAAACCTCTGTGGGAAAGGTCCTTTCTTCCCCTGTCTCCTTTTGCTGTAGGACCAGCATCACACAAAGAGCACTGTCAGTAACAGCAGCTGAAGGATGCAAATAGTGGAATAAATATCTCAATTACTTGTAGCAGAGTCTTCCAACTCGTTCTATTCCAGGCCAGAATTTCTCCCCTATTTCAGATCTTTTTGGACAGCTGCTTTATTCTGAAAATTTATCTCAGAAAAGAAAGGGGGAAAACCCTCTTTAGGGAAAAAACCAAACCAAAACAAACAAAAACTGAATCGAAACTGTGTTCCAGACCGTGTCTTTCTCCTTTTCATTGCTGTCTTTGACACTCAGTGGATTAATGCTCCATCCTTTGCTCTTTTTCTCCCTTGCTCTTTCTCAGAAGTGCAAGATACAATAATTTTAATACCTAATACATCGTGGTAGCTCAGGTTCTGTACAGCATTATGTTGACCTTTTCAGTATTCAGTATTTTGATTACCTGGTGATCTTTTCCCGCCTGGAAGGTTAGTGAGGTTTTTAAGCATGAGAATGCAGTGAAGAGGCAGAGTAAACACCAGAACACACCTCAACGCACAACAAAGCTGCTGCTCCAATTTGCAAACTGCAGGACACGTGTAAATATTTGCTGTTGCCTTTTATCAGCTTGCCAGAGAGAATAGAAACTGAGGACTAGACTGCTCTGGAAGGACAGCAAAAGTGATGGAGATTGAGGGCTTGATTTATAAGGAGACATTAAAGTGACAAAGTGTGAATGGCTCGACTGAGCAGTTTTTAAAATTGGACTATGGAAGTTGTCTGAGAGCAGTTGAGAGGTCCTGTATCCACAGGGAAAGGTGGGTTAGGGGGCTCCAAGGGGACAGAACTTCCATCTGAGGACAAAACAGCAGAAAGAAAAATTGGAGAGGAATAATTCCGACAGAATGTGGGAGGTTACACAGCACTGTTGACTGTGCCTTGTGGGCAGTGAGGGGGGGTTAAAATCTTCCTGGGTGGCTTAAAAGCTGCTGCTGGGTCATCTCACACTTTGAGTCTCCAATAAAAGCCATAAATCACTGATTCTCCTCAGAACAAGAAGGGCTTTTCCCTTTGGAGAAAACACTGTGGGCAAGGTGGTGTGTGAATCCCGGGCTGAGGGATCAGGGTTTAGGTGAAATATTCTCTGTCCTGGGGGCTCTGTGTGCCCTGGGAGGGTACAGGGGGTCATTGCTCAGCCTTCTGACCCAGGTTTATAGAGCCTGGCCAGTTTGCTGGAGCCAGGCATGGAATGGGGCACAGGGAAAATGCTTCCCCTGGGAGTAGGATCAGCTGCTTTGTCAGGGATGTGACTTTCCATCCCTGGTACATCCCCAGTGCTTTGAAGGAGTCCTGCTTTTCCAGGAAATAAAAGATGTCATCTTACATCCATACCAAACTGTATTTTCCTCTTTCCTAAAGTTTATCACAGGCATACTTTGCAAAAACACTTTTCCTTCCTGTTTAATATCCTGCTGATGTTCTCAGCCTCTGCACGGCACTCTAAGAATATTTTCCAGTGTCATTCATATGCTTCTCTTTAAAGCTGTTGTAATAGGTGAGAAGTAGATAAAAGAGGCCTGGGGAGGTGATTCAAAAAGTTTGCAATCATCTTTTGTTTGTTCAGTGCTGGTGGAGCTCCAAAGCACTGAGGAATTATCTCACTGTCTATCTGTTGTTACTCAGACTGTGGTAGGGAAGATGCTCATAACAACTGCATCACAGGAAAGCTGCTGATGAAATGAGGCCTGAGTGTTAAGTCTTTCTTTAAAGATCCTTAAAAAATCCTTCTTTTTTTCCCTTTTGAGAAGCTTGTCCTCACAATCTGGCAGGGGAGGAGGTCACTCTCTCCCGGGAGTTTACAATCATCACGTTGTCTGTGTGTGAGTAACCACCTGAAATGAAGAGGTTTGCTTTGGGCAGAGCTGGGGGCACGAGCCTGGCAGCATTTTTCCACGGAAGTAAAACGTGGAAATGTACCTGCAGCTCAGAGAAGCCTTAAAATATTTATTTTATTTATTTCTCCCCTTGAAAATACCTCTCTACAACGAGGCACAATTTACACGACTGCTTTGGGGATTCTGGCTGAAAGAAACTTGGCTGTATTTATGGTGGGGCTTCAGGGGCCAAGACACCTTGTTCAGCTGAAGTAAATCAGGTTCTGCCAGCACTTGATCTCAGTCCCCAAACTGACACCCCCTCACTGAGGGTCTTCACCCTTATTTTCCATCCTCTGCCCCCATGCCCTTTGTGACCTCACTCAGTTTATCCCTCCACTTTCCTCTCCAGCTCATGGACTGGCAGCTCGGGGCAACAACAATTTTTGTCCACATACCTTGAGGTCTTTTAGGTCTTTCAAACCTGCCAATAATTTACTATGTTAGAGACAAAATTTGCTGTATTAGAGCCAGTGTTGGGGTTGTTCACCTGGTGTTGGCAGTGCATGAATTCAGAGCTGACCTGCCCACCAAACACATCTTAGGACACACTTTGCTTGTCTACAGTTTTTAGATGTAGCCTTGCTATTTAATATGAGCTGTGCTGCTCTGGGCAGTGACCACGTTGATTTGGGTGAGGTACACACTGGTTTTATCCACTGATTTCACTTTCTGTTCAAAGAAAGGTGTCCAGCACAGAGTTGCTTCAGATTATTGATGTAGGAAATTACTGTGGAGTAAAGGTTGCTACCAATACATGCTTTAGCTGAGTCCTAGAGCAGTGCTTGATAAAGGGCATTATAATCTTGTAGGACTTTAATTTCTGCCTCTTTTTATGTCCCTGTACCACTTTCAATTAAAACATCAGCCTTTGCAAGTGTCACTTCTGGATGTTATTCTTCCTCAGCCCTATTTGTGTGCTGATTTTTTTAGGACTTATTTACCTGTCCTGGGCTAAAAGCTTCATTCTCACTGTCTGGCTGGTACCTGCAAAGCTTGGTGACATCAGGGCATGATTTTACCACTGTTTTTGGACACCTTTGCCTGTAGCAGAGATGTTTTCTGCGTGCTGAAGGAGGGACAGTGAGTGGAGGGAAATCAAGAAACACAGCTCTAAAACTCCTTGAAGTTTTCAGAGTGCTCCAGCAGGAGTTTGGAGGTGCAAAGTGCCAGAGCCTATGGAGCTACTCGTGGTTTGGTGCCTCCAACACCCACCTCAACCACCTCACTGTGTTTGGAGAGGAGGAGGCTCATGGCTGGATGTGTCTCAGCTTGGGTTGCAGCTTTGCTCTGAGACAAGAAAATAAAATGTCAGGACCTGCTGATGTCCCTATTCCATGTGTCCCACGGGTCTGGAAAGGGCAACATCCTTTCAAACAACAGCACCTGTTAAATGAAGGGAGCTGCTCAGCACTGAGGTGTCTTCCTTTATTTCACACCTGCAAGAGCCCCCCGTGCTTGAAATGCAGTTTTCCTGGCACTGGGAATCTCATCTGAGCTGAAGGCTTTGCCCACAGGAGGGAGGGACTCCAACACAAAGCAGAATCCAGCCAAGGCTCCCCTTGTGAGAGCAGCATTTGTTTCGTGGCATCCCATGGAAAAGTGAGAAGTGGGATGGGATTCCCTCCCCAATCTCCACCCAAGCAGTGCCCAAACTGGGTGACCTCTGCCACTGGGACTTGTTTAGAAATGAGCCTGAACCACGAAGAGGATGAACAGTCAGCAGAAGTGGGAGGACAAACCTCAGGAGGGTTTTAATTTGAGAGCCCAGCACTTGCCTCTGCCCCACGAGCAGAGCTGAGCTCAAATCAGTGGCCACAGAGTGGCATTAATGGGAGAAAAAGCAGCTTTTCCCAAGGCCTGTGAACAATGAAAACATGGCAGAGGCTTTTGATCCAGTTATAATTCTGTGATGATTAATTAACTCCACTGTTTGCTTTGGAGCAAATATTTCAAGCAAATTCCTTCCTTTTAGCAGTTTTGCCAGTTATTAATTTGAAGTGGCATTAACGGGGGGGTTCTTCAGTACTGAGTTATAAGCATATAACTAATTTTTACTTGTGTTTGTTTAGTCATTAAATTTTTACTAAAATCCAGTGCTAAAAGGCTGTTTAGCAGCAATTCCAGCTCCTGTGGATACTGAGAACACCTTTTACAGCAGGAAATACAGGGTCACACAGAACTTCTGAGCTGATTGTGGGATTTGTTTTAATGCCCCAAATTATTCATTAGGGTAAAAATGCTCTGCCAGTAGAACATGTTAAGCTGCAGACCAGAATGGGCAGATAAATGTGAGATGTTTGTTGGTTTTGTGGCTGTTTCTTTGATTTTTGCCAAAGCTCGAGGCCCACTGTGGTTTTGAGATGCTGCTTCCAACAGGATCTGTTTTAAATTGGAAATTTGTTTTATATTGTAGAAGAAACATGACTGAAAAGAAAACAGATCTGCAATTTAGGCTTCATCATTAAAGCTGGTCAGGAATTGTTCTGGGGGAATACTGATATCTCAAAGTGAAATTAAGGACTTGGAAAAAATTAATTGACAATCAAAGGTTCATTCAAAATTAAAGTTTGTATGGATTTTCAGTTAGAATGAAATTAATCTCTGTCAATATGAGTAGGCAAGTTTAAGGTCCTGTTCTTTGAGTGTTCTTATGGCTTCTTTTATTCTAAGATACAAAGCAATTTATCTGACCTGCATTAGAGTGGGATGAATCTGCCTTTGAAGGGCCTATTTCTTTCTTTCCTTTTTTAAACCAATTCTATAACCCAATGAATAAGTAACCTGGGTGAAATTTCTCCTTTTATTCAACTAAACTTAGAGGAAAATTGAGATTTTGTAGTTTTATCCTGACTTAGCAGAGAAATCATTTCATTTGGTGAATGTTTTTTAGGGCAACAAAGCACTTGGTGGTTTGTCTCTACCCAGGGCTCATTTAATTCCCCAGATGCTGGAGGTTTAAAGTGACAATAAGACTTGGGACTGAGCTTTAGGCAGTGATCAGTGTTGTCACCCTCATCCCCTCACTGGAATTGAGACAGAGAATTTAAGTGATGTGTCCTAGACTGGACAGTGAATCCAAGCTCAAAGCTGAGATTAGACCTTCCTTAAACAGGGAATATTTAGAGGAATATTAAATATTTAGAGGAATATTGAAAATGTCCCATGTGGGTCCTTGACCAAGGTAAAGCTCAAGGATTTATCCAGAGTACAACAGTCC